AGTCGTTGTTCGTTGTGCACACTGGAGTTGATTTTTAGCTACAGAATATTATTTACAGTAATACATAAGGTGAACCTCCATAAATTTGTGTTTCGATTCGCTTTATTAATTTAGTTTTAGGGTGCGTCGTATTACGTGGGATAGTTGTTGTAGTTTGAATTGAAGATAAAAACACGTTATTTCTAAGAATAAACTATTCAGGAATGACTGTACGATGAATTTATTATCAAGCTGCACATTCTTATGCATCCGATATTTCTGATACGGATATTTAATAAGGCAATCTAAATAACCAGTGTCAATGATAAGAATAACTACTACATAGGAATATTTATGTTTAATGATGGTAGCTAAACTTTCTACTATAATAAAGTACGTTATGTTATATGTAAAACCATTCACAGAACGCAGACAGATGTGAAATAAGTCGAAACATAACAATTTGATATAAGTTGGTTATTAGTATTATTCCTGACAATCATTGTTAAAATTACCCAATGGGATAGTTTTCAAAAAGTATCAAACATAAGGATATACATCTTGATAACAAATTTTTTGGAAAACGGTCTCTCCTGTACATTTGATTCTTTATGCTTTAATGGGAATCATTTCAATATTTTAAGTTCAGTTTAGCTGCTCTCTGTTATATTCATGTTCCTCATGATGATGATTGAGAACAAACAGACTGAAGTAACAGTGGTCAAAGCATGCCAGTCATATGGCTGAAGACTGGACTCGCAACAACAGCGAAAATAGTGTTAATGTAAACTTGGACAATATTTCATGGATTAAGACACTAGTAAAAGTATGGCCTATCAAGATATCAAATAGTCAGCTGGAGTATTTTTAGTGCCTTCGGAATTTCAGTGATTTCAAGGCAGATTTTGTCTTCTGATCGACGTTATTTCCCAATCCACCTTAAAATGATATTTGTGGTAATGTACAACCATCAGTCTAAAATGTACAGTCTGACTTAATCATTCGTTAAAAGCTCAGTAGGTGGTCTAGTAAGCACAAGCATATATTTCATAGTTGTTTCTGTGATATGAACAAACACTGCTACAAGGAAGCAACTGGTCTGCTTTCTGTATTACTTGGTAATGAACTATAAAAGATGTGCATAATGCCTACTACTGTTTTGAATATCAACCCTATCTGTTCAACATTCTAGTTATGAATACCATTATAGCTGGTGAATGGCTCTCTAAATGTTTCTATTCTATTCGTAGAATAATATGTCGTCAGTCTCATACTGTACCAGTGTATTTTCATCAAAATCGTTGTTTAGTAAGTTTATTGAACTGATGGTTACAAAAGAGAAGTTTTTGTCTATCTTTCTCCTTATATTTACGAAGAAAAATAAAGTTCACATAAATATCAGCATCTTCGTCACCAGAATTGATAATTAAAAGTGAAATCAAACTGTAAGTCCTCGTTGATAGGTGTAATGCTTACTTATAAGTGGGCGGATTATTAAGTTACAAAAAAACACTGCGACAGTGAAATGCAAAAGCCGAAATACATAATTTTGAATACCAAGGTCCTAGTTTAATTTAGGGTGTGAATCATTGTAATTGGCGGTCAAAAATAATGGACTATTAGCACATTCTGTAACATCAGGTCAATGGCTATACACTGATTTAACATTTTGAAGGGATGAAAAACTGAATGTAACAGAGAAAAGTAAACCAACTATAAGAAATATGTGGTCTTTAAATATTACATACTTTCTGCTATTCTCTTGGTTTTGCTTTCTTTTGTCAACCTAACTGATAAAAGAGGTTTTTTAAAAAACTCAGTGGCCTAATCGGATTAACTTATGTTTAATCTGCTGGATGTAGATATTGATCTCTATTCTTTTTAGTCAATACTTAGAAAGTTGATATGATTGGTTAAGCTACTCATTTCACGTTTTTTACCATTACAGGATGAGAATTTTTCTTTGGAGGCTACAGGATTCTGGAAATCCAGAGGCGGATTTTAAGGTAATGTTCAATTCCTGTTTTATGTGAGTATAGGACAAATAAATGCATAAGTAATTTATCTATTTGTGAGCTGTTTCTTGTACTCTCTCCTTCTCTACATCCAATGATGAAGAAAAAAATGAGGTAAATAATGACAGAAATAAAGAAAAATAGGAGATTATTATTACTATACTAATGATAAACAACTCATTTGGATCCAATATTTTACGGGTATATCCCAGTATATAGAGAAATGTTAGCTAGTAGATTCAGTTATTAACCCTTAATTAAGGTCATTTTGTCAAGGAACAAAATATTGTTCATAAATAGTTATATTGTTTCACGGTATCAAATATCGCTTTTCAGGCCTCTGAAAAATATCAGCATACTGCTTTGCTTTATACATAGGTTTTACATTCTGATGATCATTTAGTAAAGTCATAAGGAATGTGCTATTTTATGTTTGATAGCATTTACATGCTAGTGTAGGAAACTATAAAAATCCAGGTTTATGACATGGTAAGTTATTTTCTAATGATCGTTCAAGGTGTCATTTCATTATGTTAACTTTAGTTTAACCTGATTTTTATTCAAATATCTAATCAATTTCACTCGTATATAAATGAAGTAAAAGTTGTGTGAGTAACTTGATATGATTATGAGCAATAGTTTGTGCTCGAAACGTCATCAGTTAATGTTACTGTATAACACTGTGTGATTTATCAAAATAAAATCTTATCTATAATGGAATAAAGTAAGAAAATGTTTCAACATGATCCAACGAAGCGAATAACTCCCCCAGTGCTGATACACCATAATTCGGCGGATATTTCAGCAATGAATGTTGGCCTATCTAACTTGAATGCAGGTGTGAATTCGAATACTCATACTATCTGGGTTACAGTCCACCTATGCCGCTGTTCTTGTTTATTCATCTCCCTAATCAAATCCTCATATCTCATGCAGTCGTGAGTAAAATAAACCAGTCAAACTCGTGCGACAATTTGTATGTTTTAGAGGTTGTAGGTATTCTTGAATAATAGAATTGATCGCATTATAGTATGAGATATTTAGTACTAATATTAATGAAGAGAGATTTATTTCACGTTAGGAGTAATCGATTTTGACACGTGCAGTTCACGTGGTGAATAATACAGTAAGAAAAACCAATTTTGCAGAATTTTATCAGACAGAGATTCTTTTGAGAAAATTGGCTGATAAGCTTTGTTTTGTCAAGTAACTTGAAAAGCCACCCTTTTTAAAACACTGTTTATAAAACCTGGCCTTCATCCACTTTCCAGTTATTCTGAGTAGTCACATCTGTGACTGGTTCAGTGGATCGTAATTATTAGCACCTAGGAGAAACTTCGTAAATGTGTGATGAATGTAGTGAGCTGATTGAATGTTACCTTGACGAGTACAATGATGCAGGACTGTGAGGTCATTCAGCAAAGAATGAATAATATTTACAGAGACAGTTTAACTACATGTTCACTTCTGTGCTTCAGTCGGACATTACTTCCATAGATTGTTGCTCAGTTATGTGTGGGCGGCAAATGGAATCTTAGGAGATGAGTGTGTAAAAATTTATGTGAAAAAGCCTAATCTAGAGATCCTGAAACGACCACAGTATAGATTTCTCTTACGCTTAAGATTATCTTTGTGATGTAGACTGCTGACAGTTTCAGAGCCTCTACACCCATTTCCATAATGGATAGTCTTGCATTTTAATCCGTCCAAGTCCCACGTAATTACTTTAGCTTATTCATGTTTCATGTTGCGAAACAAATGGTATCAAGAGCAGTATCACTATTTATTGGTATACTGTTTCCTGTGTTGTTATGTATGCCAACTGGCTTACAGTCAGTGGATTACATCATAAGTTGATGTTGTTTTGGGTTCATCCGGAATACGAAGACAGTCATACTACCAAAAACAGGCTCAGCATTTTGCGCCACTCAATTCAATACTGACGCATGCTTTTCAATCGCAGATGCCTATTGATGACACAGAATTTAGTATTCACAACCCACTCTGCTAACAGCATTTTCCTCTCAATTAGCAACGATTAGAAAAAAAAAATCAGGAATGCATATTCTGTCCTTGTAATAGTAAGGTTAGGTAGTTGAGATTGCAACAGACAATCAGTTTAATACATTGTGTATATTCAGAGGGAAATTAGCTGACATGTTGCTAGGCTATACAAATGCCTTAGAATGTGTCCAAATACCAGCTCGCTCATAATTCTATGGCTCTTAAATAGCAGGCTGTTTTCATAGTCAGTGAACAATAAGGCATTTCTTTCCGGTTAATTATTGAGTTCCTCAGAAATGTAATCCTAATGTAATCCCAATGTAATGTAGTTCCCAATAGTAAGGAATCATTGTTCGATTACACCTGCTAATGCTGTCCAGGCTGAATAATTCAACAAACTCTCCGTGTTTGACTTCCATGTTAAATGACATCAAGATCAATTGATATGATTCTGAACAATAAATTTTGTTCGAAACGTCATCCAGTAAATAATACTGTTTCACTGTGTGATATATCTAATAAACAAACTAATATGGAATTACTACCACAGTGCCCAAGTTGTACACATATATTTATAAGATCAACTTTACTTTAGCCGGTCAGATTAGACGAGTATTTTTATGCCACAGTTATTTTCATCAATTATGCATATAGAGAGAAAAGAATGAATCTCGGCTTGGTTTAGAAACCAGATGCATTCTCAACCAATATGAATTTAGACAGCACTTGAACCTATACGAGTCCCAAATAGGACGAAATGCGCATCTTGGATTCCACTGCTAGTCGCCATCCACCAATTAAATTCTAACACTTGAACCTATACTGATTGGTGCACTGTCCCGAATTTTACTTCCGTTTCACAAGTAAATCGTAATAATCAGGCGTGTTTCAAGTTAACATGTCTCACTCACGCTCACTTAACTTTCAAATTGTCACAATGAAAACTAAGTTTTCATACACTGACAGGCTAACAAGCCTTGGCTAATATATTTCTGATTGGTTAAAATAATTATTGATTTTCTACCACTTATTAGGACAGCATCTAAGTTGGCCAGGCAGTTATTAATGCACCAAGTGATATACTCGCTAGTATTCTCCGATGGATATACAATGGAAACTGACATGTTTTGATGCTAATGTTTATCATGCCTCGTCATAGTGGTTTCTCTCTACGAATTCACGTACAATTGTCTGTTGCATTATATTTTATACCTTGAATTAATTGTAATGGATGTAGCTCAACAAATCACATACAGCTCGGAATTATCTCAAGTCCCTAACCGAGCAGGATCTATTGCGTCTGCAGGATATAATGAAGAAATATCAGAGGAAGAGAAAGCGTTAGATGCAGAAATCTTAAATCTCAAAGCTTCTATCACCAATGCACAGAAAGCTGTCGCAGATACTGATTTCTACAAAATGACTGAAAACGTACCCGAACTAGGCAGGATCAAGTTCAAGGTGCGGAAGCATTTAAGAGGTCATTTGGCCAAAGTAACATCTTTGCAATGGGGTTCAGACAACCAGTTATTACTCTCTGCTTCTCAAGATGGGAAACTGATTGTGTGGGATACATTTTCTGGAAAGAAGATTCATATGATTGCCTTGAAAACAGCTTGGGTTATTGGATCTGCATTCTCTCCTTCTATGAACTTCGTCGCTAGTGGTGGGTTAGACAATGTCATATCGTATTTCAGTTTGAAGTCTCAAGACGGCACTGCAGAGTTCCTTCGTGAGTTAACGGGTCATAATGGCTATATTGCATGTGTTCGCTTTGTAGACGACCATCGATTACTGAGTTGTTCTGGTGACAAAACTTGTGCCCTATGGGATATCGAAAAGTCGAAAATTCTCCTGAGTTTCCGGGGCCATGCTAATGATGTTAATGCCATTGCAGTTTCGAAGCAAATGCCCAATATGTTTGTCTCCGCATCTTCAGATCGCACTTGTCGATTATGGGATCTTCGTTGCTCAGAGGGTATGCAATACTTTGAGGGTCACCAGCAAGATGTCAATGGAGTCGATTTTTTCCCTATCAATTCTTATGCTTTTGCTTCATCTTCGGATGATGGTTCATGTCATTTGTGGGATTTACGAGCTGATCAGGCTATTGGCGTGTATATCGATGATTTTATAAATTGTGGCAGCAGTAGTGTTGCTATTTCAAAGTCAGGACGTTTGCTGCTTGCCGGTTATGACGATTTTAATTGCCATGTGTGGGATCTTTTGAGAGAAGAGCGCGTTGGAATTATGTCTGCACACGAAAATCGAGTCTCATGCGTAATAGTATCTGACAGTGGTATAGGTGTTGCCACAGGTTCCTGGGATTCCAACTGTCTTATATGGACTGCAAAATAGGTATGTATCCATTAAATTCTGGAAGTGATCACTCAGTTGTTAAAGTTGTATCTTTTTTACTTCTAATGATCTCTGAAAACTAACCTTTCGTGGTATGTGGAATATGCCCCCTTTGGCATTGATTATTTCATTTTTAATGAGTGTAAAGCATTAACCTTAGTTTATGTGAATCTGGTTACTATCTTACTAAAAATAAAATTCATTATTTGATCCAATCCATTTCAAATGGAATGTGTCTTAAATCTATAGTTCTTAAATATTCCTGTTTGTTGCAACTTGTTTTGCCTTTCTTAGTCCAAAACAATAAGTTCTAATTTGTTTGTCCAGTTCTTAAGTCATTGGTAAAGTATGCGCCATACATTAAACTTCAGCTTTGAACGTGCTTTTTTATTGATCCACGGAAGGTGGATTATATATCATGTTCCTTGTGGAAAAAGATAAATATTTTGTTATTCTCTGGTCTGTTGTTTTTGACTTTTGCATGCCAGTTATATTCTAGTCCTATTTGCGGAATGGTTTCCTATAACTGAAGCATTAATAGTCAGGATACTTGATGTTTTAGTTGTACATTTATCGTCGTTTGAGTCCGTGATTGGTAATAAGTTTTTCGGGTTGCGATAGGACTGTATTATTTCTACTCTAGCTTCCAAGTCATTCTCCATCCTAACGGTAATCCACTAAAATTGTAAATTGGAAGCATTACAGATTTGCACATACGGTGTTTTTGTAACAGACTTTTGAATTTCTACAGATGCGTTTAACAGACGTAGTCGTCTGTACACGAGAATGTAATATGAAAAGCAACAGCACGCAACATTCATATTCAAAAATAGTGGATCGTCATTATCTAAATTACGCACGTTTGAATGTATTTAACTGTGATGCTTTTTGTATTGTATAGTCACTAGTTATTTCTATGCCTATGTGCGATAATTCTTAAGAAGACATACACTCTCTCCTTGAAAGTCGCTCCTGGTTTGTCATGTTTTACAAATGCATATCAGAATAAAGGACTTCTAGTAGACTCTCGCTTTTATGTATTGGAAAGTACCTACTGAACTTAGTAAATTGATAGTGGTCAAATACCAGTTACATGTTGCTTATATGTCGATGTAGACAGCTTTTTGATTCTAAAGTATGTTTAGTTTTGATATCTATGTTTTTCACTTATTAGTCATAAGATATAACAAATGGAAACATTTAATGTAAGTCCTCACTACACTCAAATCTGGTTTAAATGCGTCAGTAATTGTTGTTAATTTGATGTTTTTGGGCTTTATGTAAGTTCGCTTCGTAGAGATGGTTTCTGCTGTAACAAACCGAAGAAAATATATAACTTCAGAGGTTAATAGTTTTGTAGTATTCACTTTATTGAGACCAGTGGCATTTAGATCTCGTTAGTAGGCAGAACCCAACAAGTGACGTAGTCAAACCTCCTACGAATTACTGCTCTCCTACATGTCTTCATTCGGACAGACAGGGATCATGGTATTCACGAAGCTTCTTTCCTGTTCTACTATGTTTCTGGAACAAACTCACTTAATTTGCAAATCCCCTGTCATTTGTGGGTCTTCTTAAATATTGAAGTGCTAATCGCACTACGTAGTCTGTTGGTGAGTAGGTGACGATCAGACTTCAACGTCACCATCTTAAGCTACAAATTTCTACCTTATTGCTTTAACTTCTTGGGGTTTTTGAACCGATAGCTTAACATTCCTTTTTCCTGAGATTGCGCCCCTTCGTTATGTTGAATCATAATTGATATGCTAATCCTTGTTATCTATGTTTACTCCATAGGTAGTCTGATTATAATTGAAAGCAGTATGTACCAGAATCCCCTCCTGTTGGAATTTACCGATATCTTCGGGTGTACACTGTTTTCTATCTTTAGACTGAGTTTTACTTAAATAGTGACAATGCACTTACCGGTCTTCGAATCGTATCACTTCCAACTTCAGCCGGGAAGACTCATTGGTTAGCGTGGGATGTTCAACTAAATATGGTATGAAGTACATCTCCTGAGTTAATGAAAAACACCGTTAATTCCCTCCACACTGACCATATTTCTCAAATTGTAGCCAGTAATGCCGTCTCAGTGATTTAAGTCAGTGGACATAGGCCGACTTAGATCTGGTAGGTGAGTGATTGTGAGGGAGTTGTGTTTCTAATCACATGGTGAAAAAGGGTAGATTAATAAGGGATGCAGCTGATAAATAATTTTGTTGAGTAAGTTTTCCAACTCCAACGTTCCGAGTCGTCGCGCCATTTATCATTCTTGCTTGTTCACTGCATATACAACAATTTCATGTGTGACTGAGTTTGCTAACAACAAAGAACAAAAACCGTCAAGTACTTTTTATATGCTGCTTATAATCAGGAAACTCAGATTCCCTATGAAAGGTATGTTGGTTGCCGAAATTATTCTTCAGAAAAATTAAGAATTACATCCAATATAAGTATATGTGTAAAACTTGGGCACTGTGGTAGTAATTAATTCCGTATTAGTTTGTTTATATATATGTATCACACAGTGAAACAGTATTATTTCCTGCATGATATATGATATGATTATGAACAATAAATTTTGTATGAAACGTCATCCAGTAAATAATACTGTTTCACTGTGTGATACATCTGATAAACAAACTAATATGGAATTACATCCAATATTTATCAACTATTATTCGGTATCTGTATATTTCACACTCATAGTCTTCTAGTCTGTCTTATTAGTCTCATGGATTTTTCTCTGTGTGTGTCAGGCTCTAGCTTATTCAATCAGTTTTTCGTCAGAGTTTCATTCGTTTTTATTCAACTGAACATGGTTCTAGAGACAATACATTTTTCGCTAACTTTTATAAGTGCTGATCTACTTTGAAATGTGATCGAGTAAGCATTTGCATACGTACAGTTCCTTTCCACGTGGGTACACTAAAAAGACGTCTTTTGCAGTGCAACTATGAGAATGGTAGATATGTTTTTCATGTACTAAAAACATATTAGTACTTAGGAGTAAGGATTTCTCACGGATACCTGGTTTAATAATAGCAGGACTGAAAGGTTTGGTCATTTTATTCACTGAGGAAACCACAAGCTATAGTGAGCTCGAATGACATCAAATAGCGCTTCTAAAGTTACAAATGTTGCTACGTGTTATATTATAAAGCTTTCAAAGGAGGATAAAATGAAGACCCTTTTTGCGTGTCGAAGTGTTACGTGGGCATCATGATACCACTAAATAAACTGTGCTGCAGTTAAACATATGACTTAGCAACCCTTAATTTGGATATATGAATGTGTTTATCTTTTTATGCATAATCAACAATTGAGAGACTTCAGTGGGTGTAGACTCGATGAACAAGAATCCGGTAATCAATCTCTCTCTCTCTCTCTCTACCTACCTATATAACTTCTTAGAATTTTAACCACCTCCCACCCTATTGTGTGATTGTGTGTTAATGCGTGCAGTGCAATTACTTATCTTCTCGCGATCGGACATTCTTACCTTAGCTAAATTCTTATTTTCAGATAACCTGACTACCTCCAACGTACTAGTTTGACCTATGTAGTTGACCTCACAGTCATCGACAGGTATTACGTAAATTATATTATTTTGTCTAATTGGGTCAACTAGGTCATTCAACTTACAGACCTTGTCCCTGAGAAGTGAGTTTGTAGGTTTAAATGCCGTTGTAATTCCTGCTTTATTAAGAATCCTATTTAGGGTCTTAGATGTCCTCTCCTTATATGGTATAACAGTAGATTCCTCTCTCTTGTTCATGTTATCATTACTAGTTTAATGATAACATGAACAAGATATATATATATATATATATATATATCGTAGATACCCTTCTTTGTAAACTAAGTACCACTTTTCACCTAGAAGAATCTGGTTGGTTGTTTCAAGGTCGTCTGAAGTCGGTGCCTATTCTTCACTGTTGCCCGTCAGTGAAAGGCATCCTGTGTAACACTTTCATGCTCTTTAATTGATTATGTTCATAAATATGTGTATTTTATACGCAAAAATCGTGTTTATCATGTGGTTGGTGCGTTCGTTGTTATTTGTCCGTTGGTACTCACTGGTGCTTTAAGTTTAACTTTGCCCTGATGTTTAAATATACGGGCATATACAGTGTTGTTGCGTTGGTGACATTAATTTATCATACTAATGAGAAACCTCTTGAAGGGTGAAATATTGCTGCCATTTACATTTTCAGTAAGACGTAATCTTTGAAATACGCAGAGGTTTTAACTACTCTAATAATTTGTCCACTACTTTCACACAAATAATTGTCATGTTTAACAATTTAGTTCAGTATTGATTCATGTCAGTATATATTCAGTTTTCTTCCTGACAAGTAGCTGCTACTTTGACGTGATGGTCGGCCTTGCGTATTACGATAACCTAGCGAGCTACACTGGTTGGAACTAATGCTCCTACTATACCAGAAAGGTTGTTTGAATAGCAGTTAGACTAAATGCAGTTGACGTCATGGCGTTAGTTGTTGACACTGTGGACAAAGTCGTACTGTTGGCCTGTACGAATGTAATAGCAATGAAGTCACCAACACGCCAAATATGCTACGTTTTCCCTTCGGAGAAGGAGAGAAGTTAGATAGCGTCAATCCCGATAATTGTAAATCTCAACTTACCTTTGGTGGTCCGTAGCTCGTGTTAAGTTCTTAATACAGATACAATCCCAAATGCTGTTATGACCCTTTACCTAATTGCAGAACAGACTTGATTAGCATTAACTGTGGCATCTTGAGTCATGGATGTATGTTGTGTTTTGGAGAGACATGAACTTGACCCAAGTGTGATTATTCTATTAATCCCACCTGGCCAACAGTGTGAGTCTTTTGGTTTCCTATTATGGGCGTCAGGGGATTCTTCAGTTAGTATGGTGTGTGATGTCATCCGATGGTCTCACCAGTCTGTATTCAATCCATCTCCATTTCCTCCGCCATATTTGTTGGACTTTGGATTCTTGGTTCCTTCGTTCACACAGTTCCTTGTTTCTAATCCTCTCTGGCCATCTGATCCTCAGTATTATCAAGCGAAGTCAGTTGTTGGATGAAGTCTGCAACCTATTGAAAATTCTTTCGATGACAAGCCAAGTCTCTGAACTATACAAAAGCAGTGACTTGACATTAGTGCTGAAAATCTGGATCTTATTCCCAGTGCTGAGTGCAGTGGATCTCGACACTGATTTCAGAATAATGTAGGTCTATCTTGATTTCCTGGTACTGCTTTTGACGTTCTCATCTGTGTTGCATGTAGTTGAAATGATGCTGCCTAGATATATGAAAGATCTGACTTCCTTTAGATTTTTCCCCTGGGTGGTGATTGGTGTTTATCGTTGTTGTTGATGTTGGCGGGTTGTCTTCATCACCTCTGTCTTCTCTATGTTCCCTTGAAATTGTGTCTTCGCTGCCAGTCTCCTTTGCCAGCTTGTTGGTTTTCGCTTTTAGATCTTAGAGTTTTTGTATGACATTAGACATAAGCCATTCACGAAGTCCACATTGTCTAGAGTCTCTTTGGTGATCCAACGTGTGTCCGTCATCTCGTTTCCATGGTTAGATGCACGATACAGAACAGTACTAATGATACTGTGTGGAATTCACATTAATTGGTACAATATTGCATCTAATTTGCTCAACAACAGGAAAAAACAGAAATTAGAAAAATAATATTACAGGATTGATAATAGGAGCTTTTTTGTGTTTGCAGTGACGATAATGTCAAAAATGTACAGAAAGTGTAAAATGATGCTAATATTAATAGCAAAATTTTAAGAGGTAATTAAAGTAATGTCACTATAGATTAGGTATAGGAGAGAACAAAAGAGCCAATTATTTTGCTAATAACATAGTAAGTCGTAAGTTTCGCGCTTAACAGTTTCTCTATCACATAGGACGCGGGCCAAATATGCATGGTATCGTTGAGTTTCTGTACTTGGTTGTATGAGCATATAATCTTTCATAATGACTTCTAGTCCTACCTGATGAGATGCGAGGGGAGAGTTGAGAATAGACGCGGTGTTGATAGTCAAACAATATGGATTTGAACCATTTCCCACATGAGTTCAGGTGTCTATCGACTACAGTAGTAACGAGCCGACTAAGTGGTACACCACTTGCCCTGCTGACAACCCTTAATACCCTTCGCAATATGACATAGTTCTTTTTGGGTAGCCCAGGAAAGACTTAGAGGGAGCAATAAAGTACAATAGGTAAGGTGTAAGAGTTAACAAACTGTAAAAACAGAGGTTGAGTGGTTCCAGATTGTCTTAACTTATTAATGTAGTATGTCAGATGGAGCATTTTGTTAGAAATCAACAAGCTATGGGATGACCAAGA